ATGTACAGCGGGGATGCATAACGGAAACAACAAGAAGAAGACCGCTCAAACTCATGACTGCACTGCAGCCCAGGCAGCGGCAATCCACACAATATTTATTGAAAACAAAAAAACGTCCCCCTTCGTCTTACATAAACCCCATCACACAAAATAATTATAAATAAAAAAGAAATCGTCCATTACTGCTCCACACAAATTTAAAATAAGAAAAAAATCGCCTGGCTGCCGTGTGGCCACACCAAACTGTCTGTATGTATTTTGCCAACAAAAGAAAATTAAAAAGATGGTTGCGTGTGCTTCGACCGTCTGACCCTCCGTGTCCGCACATCGTTTATATTTCATGGGGTCATCTGCGTGTTGCTGCTCCCCTCAGCCCTCTCATCGGCGCGTGAGTGCGGCCCGCAGAGCACAGTCACTCGTGTGTGTGGGGACTGAGAGAAGCACGCAGACATGACGGCAGTCGCGTCACTCCATCGGGGGAGTGAGCGCAGCAAAAGAAAAAGAAATCATCGGAGGGGAGAGAAATGCTCACGAGGCCGACACCGAAGGGTGCGCCACCGAATGAAATAAACACGAGAAGCAAAACAAATCCTTAAAGAAAAACACAGCGGCAGGGTGTGGCTGTGTGTGTGGCGCTGCGGGTGTCTGCCCGCCCTGGCCGCAACGAAAACAAAACAAGAGGGAAGAAATGTGTGCTCCGCCCCACAGGCCCTCGTCGCACGCCCACACGTCACGGCTCCCTCAGCGCGCCGTTCGTCGCGGCCCCTCCTCATGCGTGCAGCAGGCGAGGCGCACAGGGCCGTCGTCATGAGCGTGTCGGTGGGTGTGCGAGTGGAGCAGTTGGGCGGAAACACACGGCACCCCTCGCAGGAAGAGTGCAGCAACAAACAATTAAAGAGGGAAGAGCAAAAAGAAGAGATGGGGGAGTGAGAGAAAAGAATAATTAAAGGTAAAAAAAAGTAAAAACAAAACACGCAAAAAAGCAAACAGAGAGAAAAGAAAATAAAAATTAGCTTGACGAAAAATTTAGCTCTTGGAAGTAATTCAGTGCTCGGAAGGTCGCAAGTGTTCCACGCGGCAGCCAGTCACTCCTCACAGAGCCGCGAACACCCACAGCCCCAACAGAAGAAGCGATAGCAGTCCGCTCCCACGCACAGTGCCGGCATCGCTGTATTCCCCTGCGACACATT